AAAGCATTTGACAAAATACAACATCCAGTTAAGTTCAAAACACTAGAAAAACTAGGGATAACAGGAGCATATCTCAATGTTTTAAAGGCTATCTATGCTAATCCTCAGGCCAACATCATTCTAAACAGACAAAAATTGAACGCATTCCCTCTAAAATCTGGAACAAGACAGGAATGCCCTCTCTCACCACTTCTATTCAACATAGTTCTTGAAACATTGGCCAGAGCAATTAGACAGATGAAAGAAATTAAAGGAATACACATAGGAAAAGAAGAACTTAAATTAGCACTATTTGCTGACAATATGATTCTATACCTAGAAGACCCCCAAAACTCCACCAGAAAATTTCTAGAACTAGTAATTGAATTCATCAAAGTAGCAGTATATAAAATCAAAACCCATAAATCAAAGGCATTTCTATATATCAGTGACAAATCCTCTGAGAAGGAAATGAGGAAAACTACCCCATTCATAATAACCTAAAAAATAAGATAATTGGGAATCAACTTAACAAAAGAGGTGAAAGATCTGTATAATAAAAACTACAGAAGCCTAAAGAGAGAAATCAAAGAAGACCTTAGAAGATGGAAAGATCTACCTTGTTCTTGGTTAGGCAGAATTAATATTATCAAAATGACTATACTACCAAAAGCACTATACATGTTTAATGCATTTCTCATCAAAATTCCAATGGCATTCCTCATAGAAATAGAAAAAGCAATCATGAAATTCATATGGAAAAATAAGAGACTCAGAATAGCTAAAGCAATCCTTAGCAGGATAAGTGAAGCAGGTGGCATCACTATACCAGACCTTAAACTATACTACAGAGCAATAGTATCAAAAACAGCATGCTATTCACACCAAATCAGTCTTGTAGACCAATGATAGAGAATAGAGGACACAGAGAGTAACCCCCCAAATTACAATTATCTTATATTTAAAAAAGGTCCTAAAAACATGCACTGGAGAAAAGAGAGCATCTTCAAAAAATGGTACTAGGAAAACTGGAAACCCATATGCAACAATATGAAATTAAACCCTTATCTTTTACCTGCACAAGACTAAACTCAAAATGGTTCAAGAACCTAGGAATGAAACCTGAAAAACTCTGTGCCTAACAGAATAAAAAAGTAGGCCCTAATCTTCATCATGTGGGATTAGGCCCAACTTCCTTAATAAGACTCCTATAGCACAAAAATTAAAAGCAAGAATCAATATATAGGATAGAATCAAACCAAAAAGTTTCTTGAAGCAAAAGAAACAATCTGTGAGGTGAACAGAGAGCTTACATCCTGGGAGCAAATTTTTACCCCTCACACATCACATGGAGCACTAATCCCTAGGATATATAAAGAACTCAAAAAGCTAAGCACAAAAAACAAAACAAAACAAAAAAAAAACTCAAATAACCCAATCAACACATGGGCCAAGGACTTGAAAAAACACTTCTCAGAAGAGGATATACAATCAATCAACAAATATATTTTAAAAATGCTCATCATCTATAGCAATTAGAGAAATGCAAATCAAAACTACTTTAAGTTTGGGCTGGGGATGTGGCTCAAGAGGTAGCACGCTCGCCTGGCATGCGTGCGGCCTGGGTTCGATCCTCAGCACCACAAACAAAGATGTTGTGTCCACTGAAAACTAAAAAATATATATATATATATATATATATATATATAAATAAAATTCATTCTCTCTCTCTCTCTCTCTCTCTCTCTCTCTCTCCCTCTCCCTCTCTCTAAAAAACTACTCTAAGTTATTATCTCACTCCAGTCAGAATGACAGCTATTATGAAGACAAACAACAAAAATGTTGGCGAGGATGTGGAGAAAAATCTACACTCATACATTCCTGGTTGGACTGCAAATTGGTGCAGCCAATATGGAAAGCAGTATGGAGATTCTTTGGAAATCTGGGAATGGAACCACCATTTGACTCAGGTATCCCTTCTCCTTGGACTATACCTAAAGGAATTAAAAACAGCATACAACAGGGACACAGCCACATCAATGTTTATAGCAGCACAATTCACAATAGCTAAACAGTGGAGCCAACCTAGATGCCCTTCAGTGGATGAATGGATTTTAAAATGTGGCACATATACACAATAGAATTTTATTCAGCAATGAGAGAGAATAAAATCATGGCATTTGCAGGTAAATGAATGGCATTGGAGAAGATAATGCTAAGTGAAATTAGCCAATCCACAAAAAAAATGCCAAATGTTTTCTCTGATACAAGGAGGCTGACTCATAGTGGGGTAGGGAGGGGGAGCATGGGATGATTAGATGAATTCTAGATAGGAAAGAGGAGTGGGAGGTAAAGGGAGGGGCAGGGGATTAGAAAGGATGGTGGAATGTGATGGGCATCATTATTCAAAGTACATGTATGAAGACTTGAATTGGGGGTCAACATACTTTATATGCAACCTGAGATATGAAAAAATTGTGGTATATATGTGGGATAAGAATTGTAATGCAAAAAAACCCCAGAAAGTAATTGTGTTAAGGCATGAATTAGTGTGAACATACTTAATATACAAAGATATGAAAAATTGTGCTCTATATGTGTAATAAGAGTTGGAATACATTCCACTGTTGTATATGTAAATATATAAAATCAATAAAAAATTCATATGCCATTCAGTCACTACAGAGCCCTTCCAAGGGCAGAAGTTGCAATTTTTAAAAAAATTTCCTCTCATATATGAAGTATTAGAAGATTGTGCCATGAGAGAAAAACTTAAAAAGTTTTAAAAGTAATGCAAAGAACAATGCTGCAACACTATTTTTTAAAAGATGGATACTTGATTTAAAATTATTGAACCTGTATTTTATACCTCCTTATTAAAATTTTGAGAACAAGATACAATCATTCTGTGTCACATTACTAGGCAAACTGTTGAAGTACTGTTTTAAACCTCCCTGTATATAAAATTATCATGAAGGATGTAAAACCCATAATTTCCTTTTTGCTGTATGCATGTAATGAAATTGTAGATAGAAGTGTATTGCATTAAAAAATGAACAAAAACTAGACACTTTTACTATACAAGACTGCTGATGAAGAAATGTGTTTGTGTGTGTGTGTGTGTGTGTGTGTGAAAGAAGATATCACAGGGACAAATGAGTTGTGGCTTTGAATTACATGATGTGTGCCACATGACCTTAATGCAAATTTGACAAATTTGATACTGTAAAAAATTGATAACTGTTCTAATATCTGAGTAGTAAGTTTTTAAAAAGTTTTAAAAACATGTCATCATGGACTCATTTTGGTTGTTACAGTCATCAATGTCAACCCAAAAAATTCAGAGGTAAAAATTATGTGTGATCGAAACACCAGTTGACAGACAAACTTAGAGCTTTATTCTATTCAGAGAAGGCAGATGCATTGGAAATCTTTATTTTTTTAATACTGGAGATAATTGTATACCTATCAAAGTTTTTACAAATATGATTTTTTAATTTCCATTCTGGACAACAGTGGTCAGCAGAATCATCAGTTGGCACCTTCATGGTGACCTCTCCATCACCTTGTCTCACTTGAACTGTTTTAATTTTATGCTCTGCAGTAGTCAATTATTTGTATTCAGCTAGTTCTCCTTTAATGTGCCACTGCTCTGTCTTTGTGTTACACATTCTGTTGTTTTGATTTATTTACAATACATGCTGTGCCATTATGATTTTAACTTTGTTGTGTTGGTTGAATAACTTGTAATACTTAAATGCTTGAGGTCACAGTGAAAAACCATACCAGTATTTCTTTCAGCTCCATTTCAAATATATTTATTTGATACCAGTATTTCTTTCAGCCCCATTTCAAATATAATTAACCTGAATATTTTGGATGTTTATCAAAGGTCTTTTATGAGGAAAGTAAATTTATGAAATAATAGATGTGTAACATATATGAGTAATGTTGGCTTTGAACAAACTTTGAAAACTTAGTTGACAAAATATTGGATCACCTGAAAAGAAGCATGAATTTTGAAATCTGAATGCCTTGGTTCTCAGTATTATCATTCTTTTTTCTTATATATATATTTTAAATTATCAATGGACCTTTATTTATTTATATGAGGTGCTGAGAATCAAACCCAGTGCCTCACATATGTGAGGCGAGTGCTCTACCATTGAGCTACAACCCAACACCATCATTCTTTTAAAAAAAAATATTTTTAGTTGTAAATGGACTCAATGCCTTTATATATTTTGTTTATTACATGTGGTGCTTAGGATCAAACCCATGGCCTCACATGTGTGAGGTAAGTACTCTACTACTTAGCCACAACCCCAGTCCCTGTATTATCATTCTTTATTGAATTTATTTCTTATTAAAGTATATAGTTTTTAAGACATTTTTTACAGTATTATGTAACTTCGAGCATGGTTAGATTAGAGTGATGCTCATATGTTACCATAGAGCAGACATTTATATTTTGTCTAGACTTTATTATATCAGTAGTTTTCATGCACTATATATATACAGCAAGCAACCTATTTCCAATGAGAAACATGTCAGTTAATGTATTTAAAGCCATCGTTACAAGTTTGTAATGTATGTTTTCCAACTTGTTTTATATGTATGTGATGTATTACAAAAAATATTGTTCTTAATTGAAAAAAGGATATAAAATGTAAAACCACAATTTTTCATAAATGAATATTGCCAATTGTTTCCCAGCCCTTTCTTATATTGGGTGTTTTGACTTGAGATACAGTTAGCTAATGAATGGATAAATTAATTAAACACTTATGAAATTCAGTTGGGATTTAACTTAGCTTGTAATTTAATTATTTGTTTCTTTATTGCATCCATTCACCCACATCAATAATTTAGTGAATGTTATAATACCAATCTAAAAAACAACCAAAAAAGCAAACTGAGGGGTATGAGAGGAGAGGAGTGATGGTGATGGAAGTTACCAGGTAAAATCTTTGTAATTCATCAAGATCTGCCTCAGGAACATATTCCTCTTTTAGTGTGTGTGTTTTTAAAATTTGTTTTAATTAGTTAAACATGACAGTACAATGATCTTGACATATCATATTTTTTAATAAGATGGGGTATAATTTCTCATTTTTCTGAGTGTACAGGTTGCAGAATCACATTGGTCATGCAGTCATGTATATACATACAGCAATACTAATGTCTATTTTATTCTGCTGACCTTCCTTTCCCTCCTTCCCCTCCCCTCCCCTCCCATCAGTTCTCTCTACCCAATCTAATGTGACACACTTCTTTTTTTCCCTCACATCATCATACATGTATTCTGTATAACGATGAGGGTCTCCTTCCATCTTCCGTGCAATTCCACTTCTCCCTCACTTTCCCTCCCACCTCTCTTCCCAAGTGTGTTTTATTTTACAGAATGAATTTAAAAAGCAACTGTTACCAAGTAAATATAATTTAATATAAAAATTTACCATGAATTACTAATATTAAAATTATTAAACAAAGAACATATAAGTCTGCAAATTCCATACAATATAGACAGTTATGTCTTTGGAAACGAAAAACAAGCTCCTGCTCCGAGTCTTACAGGTTAATTTCAGCTGCTGTGCACTGCAGGTATCATCTCTCCTGTGCCTCAGGGCCAAAATCTCTGCTCTCCCAGGTGTCTTATGTGGTCTATAAAACAGAACAAGGTAAAAAGGTCACTTGGGATGAGTTGCTGGCCACAGAGAGTGGCCAGGACCACAATTGTCCTCAGGAAATGCAAGATGAACTTGGGCCCTGATCTCTCCTGGGGTCTGGGCAGGGAGCACTGAGGCTGGTATGCTGCCCTCAGCTGAGGGTGTTGTCTGTGGGAAGAGTGTCTATGAATGTCCTCAGGAGGAAATTCTCATGGATATTCACCTTCAGAACCTTCTGAGGCTGCTTCCCTAGAGAGTGAACATGAGACAATGGGAAGAGTTCTGTAGGACATTTGGGTGTAAAGGCTGAGTAGCATACATCTGGGACCCTGAAGAGCAGCATCTGTGATGACACAGGGTGGAGCAAGGACCCTGGCTCCTCCAGCCCTACCCTCTGTAGTGCCATTCCTCAGAGAGCTTCCTGCACTGATTTTAACCAAATTGTACCTTCCCTTGCATGGCCATGGTCACATGCAACTATGGAACCTTCAGTGCTCTAATTGATTCTTATGGATTGCAACAAAGTGCAACAAAGAAACTTAAGAAAGCAAAGGAGAATATGTGGACTGATTTGACCTCTGCTCTCCTTCCCATTCTTTCCAGACTCACATTTCCTCTTCCTAAACTGCTTTATCGCCTTTGTTGCATTGAGCCCACATATTAAAACAGGAGAGGGCCCCTGGAAACAATTCATGTTAGGGGACCTACATTCCAATTGTGTAATCTTGACCTAGGAAAGGAAGGATACATTCATGCATGCTCAGAGCCAGCAAAGGCAGGAGAACCCAGCTATTCAGTGGTCAGTAAAACAGAACCAGATTGTTTGTGTCTCATGTATCAGGCAACAACTCAGTATTTCTGATGCTCCCTACAACTCAAACTCAGTGTATGGGTATGCAGTATTACTCAGCATGATTCAGTGGTGTTGCCTGTGGTAAAAAAAAAAGTAGGGAAAGACTAAGAATGTTAGTGCAGAGAGATTGAACAGACATTGAAGGTCCAAGGACCTCAAAGATCTGGATGAGGAAAGCACCTTTAGAAAAGTCATAAAATGTGGGAAAGATGAAACATGGAAAATCTACAGAGTCTTTACATAAGAAAGAATAATTAAGAGAAACCAATAGAAAATCAATTACTTGCAGATTTCTTGTCCTTTTTTCCTCCTTCTCATCCTCTGAATCACTTTCTATGTTTTCTCTGTGGACCATGGCCATGATGGTGATGATGTGGCCTTAGAAAAAGGAAAGGCAGAGTTAAAGTCAAGGTGAGAACTTAAGTTGCTCCTGTTCCTGGTGTTCTAGAACCCACAGTCAAAGCTCTCCATTCTTTTTCTTGTCTGCATTCCTGTCTCCTGGCCTCCATCACCTCACCTCTGCAATGAGAAATAGATCTAGCATCCCAAGAGCTCTTTTCCAGTTCACATTCTGCCATTGTACTTGGTAGGGATTCTGTGTCATCCTGTTACTCCAAGAGGAAGCCACAGTCTCCCTGATTTTCTGGACTTAGGCCTCTTAAATACAAGCAAATTCAGATTTTCCTCCTAGTCCCAGGGCTTGGGAATTAGACGAAGACTGGAGGTTAGAAACATGTTCAAGGAGGAACTTCTCCCCACTCTTTTACAGGAGAACACAGTGGCCTGTCCAGGGAGCACAGAAACAATTTTCTTTAAGTTGCCCACATTTGGGAGTTCATTTTCAACCAGAAATAGACAAAACACAGAAGAGAAAGTGCTGCTCTAAAAGGATAACAATCAGAGGGGAATTGTGACTTCTTACTCACTGCTTATCACTAGTGAGAGCTTCAATTACAGGTTTGCAAAGTGCTTCTAAGAAAGTATGTCCCACTAGATTCTTTCCATTGTGGGTCAAACCTAAAGTGTAGATCTTATTTCTTTCATGCACAATGCCAAAAAATAATCAATAATGAAAGCCAAGCTACTTGATGTTTATTAGAGGCAAATTTAGGACAGAATGGGACTTAACATGGAAGATTGTGTTTACCTGGCAAAGCAAAAGTTGTCTTCTTATGAACAGGATGTCAGAAGGTCTACTAACTCTTCTTTTATGAAAATAATACATATTTCTGTTTTTTTTCTATTTTATTCCCATTCCTCATTTCCCACATGAGTAGGTGAACTCAAATCTTACCATGAAACCTTTCCCATTTTGTCATACCCCAAGGGCTGTTCCTACCTGGAGGCTCTTCCTCGTCACAGCTTGAATCATAATCTTTGCTCCATGTCCAACCTTTAGAGACACAGACACCATCAACAGAGTTACTTAAGATTGACTCATTCTTTCTTCTACACAACTAAGCTTATGATGGTTGCTAGGGTTGGATGTTTTTTTATCCCACACTGGATTGTGTGATTGAGGCTTGGTCCTCAGTATGGCCACAATGAGATTTGTGAAATCTGTGTGAGGAAGGGTCTGCTTGGAGGTGTTGAGGACATTTGACTGTATGAGAGTCAGAAGTAAGAATATAGATTTCTCAAACCCTTGTTAGATCCTGTTATATAAGAAGAGCAAATGAATCAACTGATCCCTGCTGGCTTCGTGTCTCCCCATGTGATGTCTCTCTCCTGCACCTGCATCCCTGCTGACACCACCAATCATGCAATGCAGCTAAGAGGGTATTCACTAAAGCCAAGTGTTTGCCAGTGCCATGCTCTTGTATCTCCAGAACTGTAAGCTAAACACACCCACCTGTATAATTTATTCAATTTCTGGGTTTCGTTATTGGAAAGAAAAATATAGTGATACTAATATTAATAGTCAGGATCATCTTCATCTCTGTTCTGGGTTCTCAGACCCTCTCTGAGTTCTGGGGAGTCAGAGGCCTCAAACAGGATGCTGCAAACAATTGCAAACCTTCTAATGAGAGAGTGGAGCTGTAAGGAGTCAAATTTTAACTACTTTCTTCCATTGGAACATTATCCCTCTCTCATTGAAACAGACCAAGCTGACATGCAAACTGTGATGCCAACAGTTTCAGGAATATAAACTCACAGAACATACACTGTGCCATCATCAGAGCAGCGGCCCAGAAGAGAATGGCAATGTTCTCTGCTTTATGCACATGGGTCTACTGGCCACTTTGAAAGTTTTGTATTAAATTAAAATAAAATTAAAAATACTGTTATTTTGGATGGCCAAGACCAGGAGTTCAAAGATGAAGCAGACAAGAATTTCCTTCCCCTGGGTTTCCTTGGACAGCAGTTTGCTAGCATGTTTTCACTCCTCATACTCCTCATTTATAAGTAGACTGTGGAGTCAGATTGTTAGCATGTTCTCACTCCTCATACTCCTCATTTATAAGTAGACTGTGGTGTCATGCAAAAGTGAAAAGTGCCAGGAACTCTCTGAGGGCCTGAGGAATCGACATAAACAAAGTCAACATTAAGATCCAGATGGCTCCCCTCAAAGTCAAGCACATCCCACCTAGAGCTCATAAGAAATGTGTGTGAAAAGCTTGGACACAATGCTATCTTCTTAACTTCCCTACTGATTCTGGCTGGTCCTGGTCAGATCCCAGGTGGATACCTGGTTCATTGTAGAGCCCCACATGCTGAACAAGTGAGATCTTAGCACACAGTTGCATTTATCAAATGATGTCATGGACTAAGATTGTTAGAGTCTGTAAACAAGTCTGAATGGTGCCTGGCAAAATGCCAGAGGGAGTGGTTTGAGAAGTAACAAAAGCGAGCTATTAAGTGTGGAGATTCCTTATTGGTTGACTGATGTATCTAGTTTATGCTAATAAGATAAGCTGTGTGGAATGTATAAATACTGCTCCTGTCCTGCAATAAACGGCTCCTACTCCTGCTGTATCAACGTACACAAGTTCTTCGTCACCCCCCCAGTTATTTTGCTGCAGCCGGACTGCGGCAGATGGTGGCCCGTTACGGGGAGCCCCGGGACACTCGGGGGTAAGTGACGAAAAAAAGCTGCCCGTCCATAGATAGGACGGGAGCAAATCTGCTCGATCCCTAGGCAGATAGGGCGAGAGGAAAAATGGCCATTTCGAGAAAATGGAGAAGATTGATACAGTATGTTTGTGTCTTGTTTTGTCTCAGTGAATTATATTGTCTTTGTGATGAAAATATGGAAGGGGTGAGAAGTAAATTACTAAGGGAAGAAGGCACCCCAGTGGAACCAAGAATAGTTAGGGCATGTGTTGATAGAAGCCCAGGAACTCTAGTCAGAAAGAAAAAGAAAGTTCAGAAGAAGAAGGATTATCAGGAAAAAAGTTGCAGCAAAAGGCTATTACTAAATACTTTTCGTTACCAGAGGGTGCGTGAAGCGGAGAGGCGGCTGCCGAGTGTGCAAGCCGGTCACAGCGCAGCAAGGATTTTCCAAGAGGCTGCGGCAACTGGCCCTTCCCTGCCTCCTGGCCTGGGAGCTGGCTCTTCCACTGCCCGAGCCCAAATCTAGACCTGACCTGGAGGCACAGTCTCGCAGGCTCTTGCTCCCTGTGCCCAGTAGCAGTTTGAGTCCGGGACACTCCCCAGGGCCATCTGGGGCTGCCCAGGCACTACAGCCAGCAGAAGACGCTACTGGTGTCCCTGATGTTTGGTCATTTTCAATGCCAATAACTAAACTACAATGGTTCTCCCACACCTGGAAGCTAATGAGTAATGAGCACTATTAATGCTTATTTCAAATGCAAAAAAACCTTGAGATAATGTACTAAATTGTTCAGAAGGTTGTTTTCTTAGTAGAATACTACAGGATTTTCTTTAGCCATCCGGAATTCCTGCCTTCGTCCCAGTGCCAGTAAAGACCAAGGTGGAAGAATTCCCAGTGTTGCTGAGAACCAGACTGAGATTTCAGCTGAGAACCGGACGAGACTTCGGATCAAGCTAGCTGCCTGCAGAACTTACCTGGACTGTGATTTAAGCTAGCTGCCTGCAGAACTTACCTGGACTGTGATTTAAGCTAGCTGCCTGCAGAACTTACCTGGACTGTGATTTACCTGGACTGTGAGTTAATCTATTGAGACACTACTTTACCTGGACTGAGACAACAAACTGTAATCTATAACAAATTGTAACTCGGTATCTTTGCTAACAGTGTCATTGCTGGTATAATTTTTCCAAGGGCTTCTTGCATGGAGCCATCAAGTGGCTTGGTATTGCGGCATTTTGTATCCTCCCTTTCTGTTTGTAGCAGGTTATTTATGGTGTTTCTGTAAAAACCACTATGGTCGTTATTTAAATTAAACAAAAGGGGGAAATGTTAGAGTCTGTAAACAAGTCAAAAATAACACCTGGCATTTTGCCAGGGGAATGTTAGAGTTCGTAAACAAGTCTGAATGGTGCCTGGCAAAATGCCAGAGGGAGTGGTTTGAGAAGTAACAAAAGCGAGCTATTAAGTGTGGAGATTCCTTATTGGTTGACTGATGTATCTAGTTTATGCTAATAAGATAAGCTGTGTGGAATGTATAAATACTGCTCCTGTCCTGCAATAAACGGCTCCTACTCCTGCTGTATCAACGTACACAAGTTCTTCGTCACCCCCCCAGTTATTTTGCTGCAGCCGGACTGCGGCAAAGATGAAGACACTCTGCCCAGGGAGGAGTTCAGGGATGAGAAGGAATGATGATCACAGTGGTTCTACCCTCACAGTGACCAGTCAGTGTCAGTATCCATGTATGTATGAATAGAAGGACCTAGACAGCATTTGAGACTGACAGTATGAAGACCTATCATATATACTGTCAATGTGATATCCTGCAGGCCACACAGGGGGCAGCACAGACCTAAACTAGGGATCGGACACCACTGCTGTGCTGAGCTGGACCTTCACTGGAGCCCAACTTTTGCTCTGTAACTAGATGAGCTGCAATTGTGCTGATCAGGCCCCATGAAAATCCATCCAGTTAAACCATGTTTCTACAAAGTACTGTCTACAAAAAGACCCAATAAGCTAGCTTTCAGTGTCAGTTGGAACATGCAAAGTAAGCCCTTCCTGAGCTACAGTATAATCTCTGGCCTGTGCATCTCCTCTGTCTCAGATGCCCACCATAAGTGAGCATAGTGCATTGGTGGACCTGAGGGTCACTGTTAAGGATTGGCCCTGTCCAGAAACTTGTGCCTAGAATGGGGATTGGAAGATGAATTCTGACACCTCTCACAAAAAAATGTATATGAACGTGAAAATTTTTCATGAGTGAAGTGTTGTGAACAATCACATGCACTGATTAAATACAGGACCTACTGACAGGTGAGGTTTGCTATGAAATGAAGTTGCTACTGGTGCAGTGACAGGAATGAAATGGAGCTTTTTCTTTATAGAGTGTCGTGAAAATTTTCTGGGTTTTGATGGGATATGTTTTGCATGTTAACTGAGGTATTGGTGTGGAATGAACTGCACACATGGAAAGTTTACAGTTTGATCTATTTACACATATACAAAATCATGATCTAATGGAGATGGCTTTTCTTGTTTCAACATGTGCACATTGGCATCTTGGCATGTATATATCTAGAGAAACAAACAAATGTGCAAAAACGAACACAAAGTCACACTCAGAATCATGTTGCATGAATGCACACAGAGACACATGTATAAAACTCTCATTGACCTAACCACTTTGCTCAACTCACACAGGTGCTTCAAGGAAATATGCAGAATGGCCATAGATTTTTTTTTAATCAATTTAGACCACAAACCCCTCACTTCTCATTCTCAAGGAGGTAGTGGAATCACTGAGACTCTGCACTCAAAAGGAAGGAAGACTCTCTGACCCTTGGCATCATCTACATTTTGCAACAGGGAGAGAGTGAGGCCAGGATACATACCAATTATGGATCCTCTTGAATCCTCCTGTAAATAAAGAAAAGGAGTCACTAGGAAGATCAAGCCATGCTCTGTCCTGTGTGCACAAGTCTTTTGTTTACTTGGTGACATTAGAATATCCAATGAGAATGTGGGCAAATCAAGGGAACAGATAGCAAATGTACTCTCACCAAATGACACAAGCTTTTCTAGGGGATTTGGAATTCGATGGCCAGGAGGGAAAACCATAGCCAGGCACAAAGCTCGTTATCATACACTGTGTAGTTTATACTGTTTCTTGTTAATGTTGCCTTCAGTGAGGTCTCATTTGGCAACAGACACCCTGATGAGAAACTGCACACTCAGGAAATTGTGCATGTCATCTCTAGGAAACCATATCATATTACAAGAGAAAGAGAAACTAAAGAGCAACACTTGGATTTCAGAGGAAGATAAGCAACCTTACCATGGCTTTTGATGGGGCCTCCTGACCCATGCTTTCTCCATAAATGAACTCCACCATGTCATTTGGGGGAACTAGGAGGATGCAGAATAATGATTAGTATACTGATTTAAGGCTTATGAATAGTTCAGGGCATTTCTTGATATGGACATCAGTGAAAACATACAGCAAAGAGAAGAACAAGAATGAATGAGAAGCACAGCCTTTGGGTTTCCAGTAGATTGGAACCAGGTGTGATATGTGTGTTTTGTATTTTGTACCTTTAGGGGTATGTTTTTCTCTAGAGATGACCACTGAGGCCACTTTAAAAGTATGCAACATATTTCACATCTCTGTAGGAGATTAGTTATTACTAATATATTGTAATAACCTGGAGTGTGTTATATCACTAAGTGATGTATACAGTTCCCTAACCCAAAGCATCACCATCAGGATAATTTCCTGAATTCTTAATGCTTCTTTCACTTACAGAGTGAAGAACCTGGATCTTTTGGCTCAGCAACATCTCTGTCTACAGAGAGGGCCTAGTAACCAAAACTTTACATTTGGGTGTCATGAATTGGGAAGAAATTATATCAAACAAATCATGCATTAGTGTGGGTTGTTATTTTTAGAAAATGGATGCTTGTTCTGGGTATGTTAGAAGAGAATTTCTGAAGAAGCTCCCATAGCCTCACAAACACATACACAATTATTACACATGGACATGCTCAGAGATACCGCCCCATGCTCATTCACATAAATGCACACCACCCAAAAGACAGCTGTTTCAGGATCATGGTAGATGGCCACAATCCTTCACTGGATTATCACTTTGTCACCATATCCATATCCTCATTTCCAAACAAAATCTAAATCTAGGATAACTTTTTACATAGAAACAGGAAGGAATGTGTGACCTATCTAAGTACAGAGGTTTTCCTCAGCATGTTAGGGGGTTGAGAATACTTACATTTCTCATTTGCTGCAGAGGCTACCTGTAGTTACAGAAAGGAAGACAGCGTGAGCAAGAGATCATTTGCACAAGTCTGCTGTTGGCTGTGGTGACATTAGATAACTAGATGGGAAACAGCAGTTGGGGCAAAGATCACAAAGTAAGGCAGAGAAGGCACTTGTGAAAAGACATGAGCTTTGCATGAGGGATTTCTCAGGTACAATTTGATGACATGCATAAAATTCTTTTTCTATCAAGGAAAAGTGCCACTGAAGAAAATGCTCACTACAATCATTTGACAATGGTTGTTCTCATATGTGAATGTCATCTTGAATCATTCTCACAGGGAATAGATGTACAGTTGTAATTCCACCACCTATGAGTCACCTATAATGAACACTGTCATATTTTCATGAAGGAATTTGAATTAAAAGGAAGAAAACAACACTTATATCTTAGACAAAGAAGGGTCACATTACCTTAACAATGTAATTTTTTGGGTCTTCTCCCTCATCAATGGATACCACCTCCATTATGACTCGATAGCAATCTAGGGAAATATAGAGTAACTGTCAGTATATTGGTTTGCTGAAGAAACACTCCAGGGGCTTCCTAACTGTGGACATGGGTCTAGAGTGTATGGAGATGGTTGTTTAACACACACAGGCTCAATTACTGCTGGAACATGATTGTTTCTGAATGGCAAGAGAAGGAGCATACCAGGAAACAAAAATTCAAAATAGACAAAAAATGGAAGGAACTACAATGAGAAATTAAATATTCTACTGTTACACTAGAAGGTTTCAGCATTCCTTTATAACACTTGACAGATCCATCAGGAAGTAAAGAAAAAGTATACTTTTGAATCAATCATTTCTGTTATGGGTCAAATTACTTCCGAACAAATACATGTTTAAGTTCTAAACATGGTTAAGTTAGAACTTAAACAGTACCTCCAAATTTTACTGGGTTTGAAATGAGTCATTGTGATCTTAGCAATTAAAAGTATCCTCTTTGAACAGGGCGGACCCATTCTCCAAATAGGGCATCTGTTCTCATGAAGATGGGGCACATTCATGAGAGACTAATGCCATGTGATGATGCAAGCAGAGAGGAAAATGCTGCAGTTGAAAACCAAGCAGATCAAGGATGGCCACCAAACCAGTAACAGTTAAGAATGGGCAGGAAAAATCCTTCCTTAAAGTTTTCAGAAGTAACATGTTTCTGCTAACAGGTCAATGTGGGATTCCTAGGAAATAGAGCTCTAAGATAGTACACTTACATTACTTCAACCCAAGAAAGCTGGTACTTAGTTATGGCAACCCTAGGAATTTACCAAAACCATTATCAATCACATAGATCTATTTGGCATTTGTACAAATACTTCATACAACAGTGAGAGAATAAAATTTGTTTTCAAGTTAACATGAGGTATTCATCAAGATAAAATATATTTTGGCCCAAAACATTCCTTGGCATGTTGAGAAATTGTGCAAATTTGCTGTCAGGAGAAGAGAAGTTGGCAAATTGGAGGAAGGATGCACCCACGACAGTTCTTCAGTGCCAGACTTAGAAGGCAAGAAGACTGCTTCTCAGTGAGAGGGGAACCAAAGGAAGTCACCCAAACTTAATAGTGAATGGAAAAAATCATAGAGGCATATAAAGTCAAAAACTCAAGCAAAAGAAATAATACAAGACAGAAGCAAATTTAAGATAGAGAGAACCTTTATTTCTTGCCACTCCACAACCTGTAATGCAAACAGTGCAAATAGTCCTTCCTCTCAGGTGGGCAAAAGAGGGGTTTCACGAAAACTCAATAGTGGACACTCAGGGAGTCTTAGAGAATCAGAAACTTGGCTACATTAAACAAAGACAAAAAAAGAAAGTACATTGGATCCAAGCTGATGGTGGCAGAAGCAGCGGCAGCAGCAGCAGGAATAGTGGCACCGCTAGATCACAGAAAGAGGGAAATGCACAGAAACAAAATAGAAAGATTCAGTGTGAAAATCCCGAGATCAGAGAGGCAACGTTTTCTTGGCTGAGAAGAGGCTTCTTTGCACTGCACACCGTACATGAAGGGAGATCTGTGATTCCTGCTGTCCCCAGAGAGCAAGGCAGGAGCCACCTTGACAAGCCAAGCTGATGCTGCCACTGCAGGAGCCAGGAGCTGGGAGATCTGAGCAGGTAGGCACACATGGACCTGAAAGGCACCTGCCACAGCACCTAGGCTTTGCCTGGCTGAGCTAGAGCAAAAGGCATGGAGAGCATTCTCCCCAGGGGAACTCAAGTCAGAGATGTGCAGGAAAGCTCTGGTCCTTTCCTCCTTGAGTCTGGTGCCTCCCAGGACCAGCTGAAGGGGATTGAGAATTTGAAGGAGCAGGTGTGAAAATGGGCTGCTGTGAATAGCTGCCCAGACCATAAGCCCAGGAAGCATGGAAAGGTCGCTCCACAGGCAGCAGAGTGGGTGGGGGAAGCTGACTAGCACATCCATAGTTGGAATTAAGAACAAGGTTCAGAAAATCACCTCAATAGATGTAGAAAAGCTCTTGATTAAAAAGGAGAAACAATTCATTTCAAAAATAAAGGAGAAACCTGGAATAGAAGGAACTTAGTTTCAATATTATAAAAGCCATATATGAGAAATTCAAAGCCAACATCACACTGAACAGAGATAAAAATGAACTGTCTTCCTCAAATATCAAGAACAAGAAAAGAATGTCTACTTTTGCCAATTTTATTCAATATATTTTTACTGTCAGAACAATCAGGCAAAAGTAGGAAATTAATAGGATACCATAAGAAAAATTCAAATTGTCCACATTACCTGGTGGCATGATTCTATATTTAGAAGGCCCAAAAATTTTCACCAGAAGAATTCTAGAAGTAATAAATTTAGCAATGTAGCAGGATAAAAGATCAACACAAATAAATCAATATTGTCACTACACTCCAACATTGATGGCACTGATTTAGAATTCAAGAAAATAATTTCTTTTATAATAATGTAAAAAAGCCCCTGGGGATAAATCTACCAAATAGGATGTAAGGTCTCTACAACAAAAACTATAGAACACTGCAAAAGAAATGGAAGAAGACCTCAGAAGGGGCAAAAAAAGTTCTGTGTTCTTGGATAGGCAGAATTAATATTGTCAAAGTGGCCATAATATCAACAGCAATATCCAGGTTCAATGAATTCAATACAATCCCCTTCAAACTACAAATGATATTCCTTACAGTATTGAAAAACCAACCCTGAAATTCATTTGAGATGATGATGATGATGATAATGGTAATAATAATTATTATTATAATATTATATTATATCAATTATTATATTTATTATTATATAATAATAATTATAATAATTATTATTATTATTATTTGGCAATGCAATTCTGAGCAAGAAAAAGTAAGGTGAAAGCCAGCACAATAACCAATCTCATATTTTACTACAGAGATGAGTAGCAAAAACAGTATCTTATTCAACTGAAAATAGATATGAAGTTTCTTGAATTGAATATACCACACAGAGACAACCCACCTGATACTTACATCCACCTGATACTGGACAACAGCACCAAAATATATGTTAGAGAGGACATTATGGTTTAAACAAATGGTGCTGGGGAAACTGGATAAGCATAGAAATACCAGGAAGGATGGGAGAAAGAAGGTACACTGACACAATGTTGGTGAGTCTGTAAATTATTATGACAACTCTAGAAAGCAATGTGCAGATTCCTGACAAGCCCAAGAGTGGAACTCATAGGACTCAGATATTACATTCCTCCCTGCTTATTCTATAGAACTACAAGTCAGCATACTATAGTGATACAATCACTTCAATGTTTGTAGCATTCACCATAAATACATTGTATGATCAACCCAGATGTCCACCAACAGTTGAAATAATCAAGTGCACAGAATTAAAAGGTAACTAGATCTTTACTTCTGGAGCTATAGCACTGCTGAATGACTCAAAGCACGTAAATTAGTACATGTTAAATAAAAGAAGAATTGGAACTCTGAATCAACTAGAATCATTATTGCAGAATGGACACAATGACAGGATTTCCACAGTACCTTCATTGGAATTTTCATTTGGCACAGCACTGTTTCGTGGCCAGAGGCCTCCTCTGAACCAAGGCCTGTGTGAGTCTTCTGCATTTGGGGGTTTCTTCCAACATGGGAGGCAACACCCTGCGAAATGTGATAAAACAGAGTTAGCTGTTGACAATGTGCTAGCAAGAAAACATAGGGTCATCAATAGTAATTCAAATAACACTTCAACCAGTTTTAATTGATAAGTGATCATTGTAAATATCTGGGGGTATAATTTGAGCTTTGAATTCAAGTATGTATTTATACACTAATAGCATGCCCAGAAACTTAAATATTTCTTGTATGTTTTTGTTCTGTCATTTTCAACAACAAGAGGTGATAATTATGTTATCAGAAATAGGTCTGGGACACAAAGATAAATGCTGCATAATATCACTCTTTCGTGGAAACTGAAAAATTGATCATAGAAGGTGAGACTAGAGTATTAGTTAGCAGAGCAGGGGAGACAATGTTACAATTGAATATTAGAAAAAAAGTTCTGATGTATTTTTGCAGTCTGTTAACAGAGTTAAAAATAATAAAATCTGGGTCTCGAGATGTGGCTCATTTGGAGAGTGCTTGCCTTGCAAGTCTGAGGCATGGGGTTTGGTTCCCAGCACCACATTTAAATAAATAAATAAATAAAGGTCCATGAATAACTAATAAAAAATTTTAAAAATAACAAAATCTATGTTTAATAAATTTTGAAGGAGGGATGTGAATGTTCTTAGATTTCACACTACTGAGTTTATTTTTCACCATTGGGGCAGCAAGGCACCTGAGTCAGATTGAGCTTTAGGATAACAATGCAATGTGTGAGGTCTACAACCCAACACAATATTGTGTGGTCAAAAAGAATTACTGAGGCAGAATCATAGAAAGGCAGAGAAAACAGTGACCATAAGCAGAGGCTGTGGTTATGTGGCTTTTGTTCAAATCCTACCTCAAAAATTAAATACCTGTGCAGTTAAATAAACCCCTTCTCAATTGTTTGCAAAAAGTGTGGCATCTGATCCATGTAATGGTATAAGGCTGACAATGATCACATCCATGCATTCTTAAGAGGACTGGTGCTTCATAAGGGTGCTAATGTGTCATATCATTAAATAGGACACTTCATTAAATGTGTGGAAAAATAAGCTCAATCGTTGACAGTGTTTGAACAGAGAGGTGTCAAACAGAGGTCATCCTCCAGAGCAATGGGTGAAGAAAGTCTATTCCTCATTCTTTACAGATGGATATTTGTAAAGCTCATGGAGAATATCTGTGACCTCCTATGACTCCATATCAGCCTAAAGGGATGGGTGGAGCAGAGTCTGTCCACCACAATTTAGAGTTTAGGTGTTTGTAATTTGGAGATTTTATGTGACTTGCTCAGATTCACAAGAATGATGAGCGGTGGATGTGGGACAGGAATGTAGCTATTTACCTGGGACCAGAAATCCCTGAGCACTTGAGTCCTCTAGTGGATATCCTAGAACCAGGAAACCAGAACTCTTCTCAGTTCTTTTCAAATACTCCTTCCTTCAGGCCTCTTTGGCATGAGGTTTCAGTAGCAGACACCATGAGAAATGTTCAAGTTATAACCCCGGGCTCCTGTCTCTTCATTACAATTACTGACTTAAAAATGATGATTTCATGTAAATGAAACCTATCTGAAGGTCAAGGTGAAAAGGTTAAGAATGTAAGAATTAAGTTCTGTTTTCCTGGAACCTGAAACTCATGTAGAAGTTGAAAACAACTCCCGGAAATGCCCACTAAATGTATGTTGAAATCTCCCCTGATCATCTGGTTGCTCTAGGAAAACAACCCCTCCCAGAAACCATGCAATGATTGGCTATGCTGTATGTGAAGTCCCTGCCCTCTCCAAGGAATGTATATAAGCTCTGCTTAAGCTGTTCCCGGAGCTCTCTGCTCTATTCAAGTGAGCTCTGAGCCCCAGTATGCTGGACCCCCAATAAACCCTTTGCTGTTGCATGAGACAGTCTCTTGGTGGTCTCTTCCTCCGACGCTAGCCCAACCTTTACAAAGGGTAGAGTCCACACTTGGAGCCATCCTCCCCCAGGGTCTTCTCACTGCCAGCTGTCTCCCAGTGAGCCTTCCTGATGAGCAGTTGACCATCTAAATCATCAGAGTTCTCTGGGGCTCACCAACTGTTTCAAAACTTGGGACATTCTAAACCAACTGCCACTTGATGGCTGTGCCAAGAATGAAGTTTCCTTGAGCTCTTCCCTCCTGGATGGCCTGTTAGTGGGGATTAATCAGGGAAACAGATACTCTGGGCTGATGGTTTGATGTTTCCATGTCAGAAGCTGGCCTGCCCCATGTCTGCAGGCTAATATTCTGAGCCATCATCTGAGCAGTCAGACAAGGCCTGGTTGAAATGTCATTTCTCCAGATGCACCAGCTCTGATCAGGCATATTCCTGCTCCTGGCTTTCCAAGCCTCTTCCTAGACCCTGCATGGCCAGGGGCCAGAGACTTATCTGCCTAGATGGAACCACCACTAACTATAACCTGTGAACCTCAACCAATGGATCCTTCCTGAAACCACTGAGGCCCTCATTTCCTCCATTATCAGACATCCACTCCACTGACCTCAAGGCACTGTCCTTTTTGCCTTCTTCCCAGTAGCCCCCAAACACCTGGGATCCTGTAGTTATCAACCAATTGGAAACGTTTCCTGAAATTTCAGTCCTCTTTTCTTTTACAAAAGTCTTGATTTAGACTTCTCTAACATTATTTTTAGATGTTCATATACATTGAGATGGGTTTGGTTTCTAATTGCCCTTTCATGGTATATATATTGCCTTACTTAGCATCCATATACTATCTCTCACTTTATTTCTTCATCTCATGAAAGCAAGGTGGGTGTCCTCCTCCTGTAATTCACTTTAAGGGCACACATGTTATTGGCATTAGGAATGGTTCATTTTTCTAAATTTAGAAAAACATTTTCAGTAACCAGGTCAATAGAACAAGCAAATATATGAATTGAATGATAAAACAATATCACCAAATACTTAAATCTCAGGAGAGAAGATTCAGTGTTGAAGATGGGAAAATATATTCAGTAAACATTAACTGCCCTTTGAAGAAACAGACTTAAAAATATCACTGACAACATATCTTCCCCACAGCAGTTTAGATTTCCCATGGCCAACCAGGAACTCAAAACCTCCCTACTCTTCTCCAACTTTAACTGACACCAACTCACTCACCACACCAACTGAGTGGAAATGGAAGGTAAGATGTGCATCCCACATTACCATGGTGACTGGTCAACATGGAACTTTCATTGTGAGCACATGCCACATTCTGAGCTGCTACTATTATCTTAGTAAGTGTATTTTCATGTCCAAGTGTGTTGTTGAATAGTTTGTGTATTGCTTCAAAAACTGAAACCTAGACCCATATATTAATATTTCTTGTTTATGAAAATAAGTTAAATTAGAAAAAAAGGATTTACTCCCAAAATTATTTCATTGATCAAAAAATCATGGGATGAAAAGGATGCATAGCTATAGTTTTGAGAATCAAAGAAGATTCCATTTCTGGTTTGTAATTGTAAACCTACACATGTCTCAATCTTTCTGAACCTCCAAACATTTGTAGATAGAGAAAATTAAAATGTCTTTTTGATTCAGAATGAAAATGTATACAAAGTATTATCTTTTAAGAGTTGAGGAAATTTTCAGGAAGGAGAAATTTTAAGATCACATCCCCCTTATTTTAAATTTGAAAACGAAACTATTTTCTATTTAGTAGGATTTAATTCAATCATTTGAATTAATCTTCCTCTTCCATGACTCCTGCTGTGGAATCCATTCTTTTGCTTCTCATCCTATCCTGTCATCTCATACCACAAAAACTCATGGTTGAATATGAACATGGTGAGGTCTATACAAACAATGTATGCAATGCCTTCACATTGTAAAAGCTATCTATGCTAAACCCAAGGCCAACATTATTACTAAATGAGAAAAGCAGAAAGCATTCCCTCTAAGGACAGAAACAAGACAGGGATGCCCTCTTTGAAACTCTACTCAGAGTAATCAGACAGATGAATGAAATTAAAGTGATTTGCATAGAATAAGAACTCAAATTATCACCCTTTGCTGAGGACATAGTTCTATATTTAGAAGATCCAAAAAATTCCTCCAGAAAGCTTCTAGAACCAATAAATACATTCAGCAAATTAGGATATAAAATCAATACCCATGAATCAAATGCATTTCTATATATAAGCGATGAATCCACAGCAAGAGAAAGTAGGAAAACCTCCGCATTGACTCTAGCCTCAAATAAATAGAACACTTGGGAATCAATCTAAAAAAAGAGGTTCAAGACCTCTACAATGAAAACTATAGAACACTAAGAAAAAAAATTGAAAAAGATCTTAGAAGATGGAAAGATTCCTCATGCTCTTGGATAGGCAGAAATAATATAGCCAAAAATGGCCATACTACCAAAACTTTTACAAAGATTTAATGCAATTCCTATTAAAATCCCAAGGACATTCTTGTTTTTTAATTAAAAACACCAGGCAAAGGCTAATGCTCTCCCACATGGGGTCTTTCCCTTGGGGTCTCTCCTGACCCTCTTTTTGGCTTTGGCTTATGCTTTCCCTCAGGGAAGTCATTCCCTGTGGACCTTCAGGACCTTCTTTTTGCTTGGGGCTTTTTCTATCTCCCAGGTTGCATCTGCATGGAAGGTTCTCAGGATATTCATCCTGGCCCCAGCAACTCAGGCAACTCAGGACAAGGCAACTCTGGGAACTCTGGACACACAGGTAACTCTGGACACATTGAAGAGCCATTCCTGTTGAGAGCCACAGCCGAAGGGGCCCCAGCAAACTTCCAGCTGCCAGCAAACTTCCAGCTGCCGGCTGATGATTGGCTCACAGCGGCCCCAGCAACATCTAGCTGATTGGCTCCTCGGCCCCAGCAACATCTAGCTGATTGGCTCCTCTGCGGTGATGCTCATTGGGCTGCTTCCCTGCCCTTTCAGACCACGGAGCTGCTCATTGGGGGACTTTTTTGGCTCCGCCCACGTGACCCAGCCAATCGGCCTCAAGAGCAGGAGGATTGTGGGAGGTGG